CATAGAAATCAAGTTAAGATATCAATCATCTAATGAATGCTTACCAATGATGCAAATAGGGAAGACTTGAATGTTCTCTAGAAGTGCTTTAGAATGTTTTGTTACAACATAAGCCACCTAGGTCTAAACGGACAAGGCTGAGCTATTCTAAGATACTAAGGGGTGTAGTCCCCCACTAGTTTGCTTAACAAAAGTGGCAACCCAACTGTGTCCTTTGAGAGTGAAGTGTAAGATTTGAACCATATCAACCAAGCCTAAATATACTAAATAAAGTTGAAGTCAAAATTTATCAAGTAGAGAGTTTAGAGTGAAGTATGATGACTACATGTCCGTAAACATTTGTCTAATATAAATGTGGAATATAACTAAAAAACACAAAATGCTAAAAGGCTAGTAATCCCATGTTTATCAGAAGTCAACCTTTTTTGATCAAGATATCACACAAGTGTGTGCCTAGTATTTTAAATAAAATTTCACTATAAGCAAAATTTATCAAATCAAAGAAAATTTAAATTTTGAATATTTTGAAATTCTAAAAGTAAATTTGGATTTTTTTTAATTCCCATAGTTATCAAAAGGTGGAAATTCAAAACAATCAAATGCATTAAAGAGATTTTAAATTGAAATTTGGAATTTTGAATATTGATGTTTTAAAAAGTAAAACTCAAGTCGATAGTCAAAGTGAAACCCTTTTTTTATTAATTAAATGAATAATTAAAAAAAGAAATATCGGGACAATATGGATAGTTGGATAACCAAAATTCAAAATAAGTTGAACAAGGACCCAAATCACCCCAATTAATTAAAAATATAATGTCAGTGATTAAGGTATTTTTAAAATTTTTCTAGCATTTTTCATGTTTATCACCTAATAGTTGAAAATTATGAAAAACATTAAATAAAAAACTTTTAAATATTTAGAGATGTTTAATGTTTGACTATTAACTCTAGGGAGCTCAAATTAATCTTTCATTGATAAAATAATTAAAATATGTATATTTTTCATTATTCATAGGAAGGCATTTTAATAATAAAAATCCATAGCATGATGCACGTACAACAAATACACATGAAATTGAAATAAATGTTGGTGTATATATAATAAACATCTTAAAATAATTTCTAAAAATTATTAAAATTTTAGCATCTTTTATAGTTAATACATAAATATTAATAATTAGAAAAAATGACAAATAAATCATTCAATTGCACTTGATGGTTCAACACTTGATGTTTAAGCAACCCTAAAGTTTTCAAGGGCATTTAGGATATTTTACCATATTCAAAAAATAAAATATATGATTTTCAATATGTAAAATAGGAAATTATTTGATATCAAAAACAAAAAACCAAATCTATGGGATGTATGTCATGGCCTTGGGTCCACCTAAGGGCAATGGTAAATCGGCATAGGGTGAACCAACTTAAGAGCTTAAAATCTTTTTAATTTGGTTTACAATTCAATTGATTTAAGTAGTATAAATAAAAATTTTTAAATTGGAAATTATAGTCAAAATGTATTGAAATTATTTTTGTTTAAATCCTTAACCAACATTTTATCTATGGTCCAAATTTTATTGAATTTGGTTGAGAGGCAAAACCTCATCAAAATTCCATTATATTCTTACAAAATTCTATATGGATTAACTTGGACCGTTGGATCTTATTTATATAAGATCCAACGATCCCGCAGTCATCTTCCTCCCCGCGCCTTGGAAGGCTGATACTTCCAGACTGCCGCAGAGCGATGTCTCAATAAGGATAGTTAGGACATTTTTGGCTTACTGAGGATGCGCTTAATTGCATCTAACCCTGCTTCCACCACCATACAAAATGACCATCTAATGGCTTGCTAAAGGCGTGAAATTTCACTTACGTGGCTCATTACAGCTCCTGAAAGTTTCCCCTCGTCTTCACGACAGTGCGACATCTTCCATTAGATCTGCTAGAGGTGGTAGCTGGAGCTCACAGATAGCATTGAAAGGAAGGAGTTTTGCTCTGGGAGATTGTTTCAGAAAGCTAATAAATGGTATGGTGAGCTCAGGAATGCTTAGTTTGCCTAATTATTCTAAATAGTGGCTTAGCCAGGATTAAGAATGAGTTAACCTAACTTAATTAGCTGCCACTTGGCTTCCTTATACAGGATGGAGGGTGGTGACCTTGCCAGGAGAGGTAGATAAACGACAGTCCTGTGATTAAACATGGTTAAATCCTATTGGGCACTTCCAACGATGCTTAATCGTGGTTTTGGCAGACTAAACTTGGGTTAGTTACGTTAATCATAGCTAAGGATGTTGGTGGGGTTAGGTAAGGCTGTTCTTATCCAGTCATTTGGGTATTTGGCTAAGCCAAATGTTAAGAGTGTTTAAGCTTATTTGTATCTTCATTGGCTCAAATGGGCAAAATTGGCTTACTTGACTACACTTGGTCAAACCTATGGTCAAATTGGGTTGACCAAGGTTGATTCAAGTCAATGCAAGCCTGAGGGTTTTTGTCTAAGTGATTGAAGCAATTTTGAATGATATGGAGGATTGAAATAAAGAGTAAGTTTGATCAAGGGGGATGCTTGACACATCTTTAAGAATAAATTAGAGGTTTGTGTTGGGGAATTGAATTGGTTCAAGTTCAAAAGATTATGATTGGGAATGATAAGCACAACTAAAGATTATGATGTACATTTAAGAAGAAAAATATTAATTTCCCAACATCGATTGAGTGACCTACTTAAATTGTATAATTCAAAACTACCCCCTTCCGGGTCACTTCACTAATGTTCTTACTTGGCAAAAAATGGGCAAAAATGTAATCAGGCTAGGCTTTGGCCAATTGAGTAAGATACAATGAAGGGAAATTAATTACTTTTTCATCTTTCTCTCCTCCACACAACTCCACTCCTAGGACTATACAAAACCCTTAATAGCTCCTAGGAGTTAATTAATACATTACAAAAGGAATAGTGATTATCAAACTCAATGTCCCTAAGTTTATAAATGCAATTGATACTAGGAACATAAAAAGGTACCCACTTACCTTTCAAAAAGAACTTATTATTCTGGGCTTCTTTAGCATTAGCAAAAAACTCTCTGACAATGTTAACAACATACATAGAGGGTTCCTCATGCAAAGTTTCCCAATCCCTACTCACAATAATTGACATAATAGCCCCACTAGGATTTGTAATCCCCCTATGGTATTAACTATTTGCAAACAAATAGTTAAGTATATTGTTCCTCACCTTCTACAGAAACAAATCATCTCCTATTATAGGAAAAAGAAACCCTCTTCTTACTTGATTGCATTTTAGGGGACATTAAAAAATATGGAGTAGTGGAATTAGAAAATATGAATCACAAAAGTAAGAGAGAAGAGAACTCAAAACTTAGTGAAAAAAATTTAAAACTAACCGCCATATTTAAAATACTTGATAAGCATTGCAACACTTTAATGAGTAAAGTTACATCAATAGGAAGGGCTAAACAAAAAAACTATTAAAACTAAACAAATGTTTTGTGTGATAAAACATGTGGCACTATGGTGAAAGCATGGGAAAATGAAGCACTAGCTTTTTAACAATAGGATTATCGCGGTGCTTAACACATACGAGAGTTGAAGTGCTAGAAAAATTCTGCTGCCATAGTATTGTAATGGCTAATTATGGTTTTGACCTAATTTTATAGCATTGAAGGCAGTGTTGTAGTGCTCAATAAAGATTCATAATGAAAAGAGATGCCTTGTGTTGAATAAAATGTTTTAGCACTATATAATTAAAGGATGTAATACCATATCACTACATGGATTGGCGTTGAAGCATTCTGTAAGTGGAAGTAGCACTATGACACTTAAATTTATGGTGCTGTGGCATTATATTACACTAATTTTCATGAGACTCCAGTTCAATAGTGCCCGATTTAGATGCTACTGCGCTTAATAAGCAAGTGTTAAAGTTCTCTAAGACCCAATGTTATGGCATTGGCTTAAATTTGCAAATTGTATAAACCTAAAAAAATGATGCAATAATTTAAGTCACAACCATACTTAGTAACTTACAAATAACACAAGCATAACATTTTTCAAAAATTTTAAACCAAAATAATAAATACAATAAAACACATTAATAACAAAAATAAGATTAAACACCAACAAAATTAGGTTGCCTCCTCGGCACACTAAGTTTATTATCTTCAACCAAACTTGCCTAGATTTTCCTTTTAGTTGTAAGGCATAATTACTAATCCTCAAATACTCCAAGCTATGATCTTTCCATTTTCCTTTGGGTTAACTTCAGTGGTATTGGGTAAGATGCCATGCGGCCTACTACTAAAGAAAATTACAAATTATTCTAATTATTTTTTTAAAATTACTAATAAAAGTAGCTTGACTTTGTAATTAGTTTCCCATTTGAGTCACTAAGTCCTTCAAAGGTGTCTTCCTATATCTAAATTGATTATGTTGATTGAAGCTAGGGGATAAGAAGGTCTAGGGTTCGCTTTAGGTTATTAAGGATTATTCCAATTTCCTCCATTGTTTGATTGACTTGCATTCCACTAAGTTCCACCATTATTATTATTTCAACTGAAATTAGGGTTGTTCCTCACACCAAGATTATAAGTATGTGAATGGGATTTATTTGGTCTTCCAATCAAATTTACTTTCTTTATCCCTTGAACATTAGACTCAATAACATCATTCAAATCATGCTCTTCCAAATGCATAAATGATCTTGAACTAGAGCTAACTCCAAAGTTATCTGACTTCTTGGGCATGGCTTCTATCTAAGTTATAAGAATCGATAACGCATCTGGCTCATTGACACTTACTACTCTTTTAGGAATTACCCTTTCTGAAGACCACTGAAAATTATTTATTGTCATCTCCTCTATCAAAGTTTAAGCCTAATAAAAGACTTCCATATCAAAGAATCTCTAACTACTACATCAATTGCAGACCTAAGGTATCTTATAAGCCCATTATAAAAAATTTGAATCACCAATCAATGAGGAAAAATATGATGAGGGAACTTAATAATCATCTCCTTAAATCTTTCTCAACCCTCATAATTTGACTCTCTATAAAATTTGGAAAATAGAGTTATATCATTCCTAAGCTTAGCAGTTTTAAATGGTGAGAAATGTTTTTATAGGAACTTATATGCAAACTCATTCTAAATAGTTATAGAGCTTGTGAAAAAGAAATTTAACCACATCTTAGCTTTGTCTCTCAAAGAAAATGAAAATATATAAAGTTTAGTGACATCATCCCTGACTCCATTACACTTAAATATTACATAAATTTTTAAGAAGATAACTAAGTGTAAGTTAGGATACTCAATAGGAGTTCCCCCAAATTGATAATTTAATATATTTGAATAATGATAGGTTTCAATTCAAATTTATTGGCTTGAATTTGAGGTTGAGTGACACCTCCAAATTCAATATTAAGTCCTACCTATTCTAATCGAAATTAAAAAAGATAAATATATGATATTTTATATTTTGAACCTACATATGTTTGGAAGTATTTTGGTGTGTGAAAAAGGTTTGCATGCATTCTTGAATGTGTTTCAAGAGGTTGGAATGCTTATTCATGAATTATATAAATTTTCCACCTAGAGCAACACAACATTGGGTGTTTGCATGACACAACATTGTAGTGTCACCTAGGTACAGAATAGTGACATTCTTGTGCCGTAGTCTCGAGTTTTTGGAATTTGAACTAGCGTTACAGTGCTAGATGGCGGCACCGCTGTGCTAGGCCACTTTCTATACTTAAATATAATATGAAATCAATTATTCCATTCATTTGTTTATGTATGGTAGTTGGCATTGGATAAGGGTGATGGCTATAAATGAAACATAAGGATTTTTGAGCCACTTCGGGTCATTTTCATCGGCTCAGTTCAAAAAATCTTCTGGATTGAGATAAGTCATAATATGCATATGTTAATTTTCATAAATATACAATTTTTCCAATTTTTTTGATTAAATTTATATTTTTATTACCAAAAAAATGAGTATAACTTTACAGAGAAAAAAATTTTCACCACATAACTTTTATATGTTATTGAGATTGAGATTCTAAACATTTTAAATATTTCTTAGAATTTTACATGGTGGGGGGGGAGTTGAATTTTATTGAATAAAAATAATCCAAACTCTAAAAAAATTGCATTATGGTGTTATTAATATTTTAAAATGATATTTTATAGGATCTCAAGTGATTTGATTATGTTTTAAAACTATTTTTACTCAATAAAATTTTTTGTTGGCTATCACTATAAAAAATTGTGCAATCATGAAAGTGCCTGATTAATCTTAAATTACTACAATGTGATGAAATATGTGTTTATGTGATTGAATTGTGTGATATTGAATAGTTTTGACATGAAAAAAAATCTATTGGGAGATATAATGGACAAGAATCCTTGAGACTCTATGTATGGCAAAGAATCTGAATTTAAAGTCTATCTTGTGTGAGTCATAATGGAAAAAAATATTTTTAGATTTTATCTGAAAGAGGAGGAGGTTTTGTTGGGAGTCATTAGGAATCATAATCCCGTGAGATTCTATTTGGGATTGAAGAAATATGTTATATGAATTTTAGTTTAATTCAAAGCTCAGTATTATCATTTAACAATTTTAATAACATCTATGCTTTTATTGCATTACTCAACACAATAATTTAATATACTAGATTTAATTATATTTAAATATTCTAAAAGTAATTTGTAAAAGAAATAATTTAAAAATTTTCATATGTATTTATGACTTGCTGAGATGTTACAGTGGGTTTGCATTCCATTTTTTAAGGTTAGGGAAAATGAAGGAGCCTATGGATTAACAATTTAATATTTGATCTAAGTTTATATAGGTATTTGCCTATTTTTAATTTTTGTGCACTCATGACTTGCTTTGGTTAAATTTTGCTCGGCTCTCTATTGTATTGCCATGTACTATAGTGTAGATCTTATGCATATACTTTAATGAATTAAAAGAAATTATGTGGATGAGTTTATTTTAATTACTCTAGATGATTTATTAGCTCTATAGTTTGTTGTTTGTTTAAAATATATATTGGAAGAGAAATTAAAATATTTCTAAAACTAGATCTTGGGACTTGCTTATCACAGCTAAACATAATAGTTATTATCTAGTTGGGTTGGGTTGTGATAAGATTTTGGTGGTATCATAGCAATAGTTTAGGAAATAAGTTATAAAATAGAGCTACAGGAAATTGAGCTCAGTGCAGTAGAGGATTAGTTGAGAAGACTATAGAAGATATTTAATGGTGTGTAGTGTCATCCTGAGAGGAAAGTATTTTTAGCAGTATTTCTATTAGATGGTGAGGTAGAGCATCGATGGATGGGCCAGTAGGATAAAAAATTTTAAGGAATATTGAATTCTCTAATTAGTAGCTAGAAGTTCTCTGATATGTTTTGAGTTTGGTTTGTACCATTTTTTGCATGTCAGCATATGCAAGAGACTTTTCTAGGATTGGTTTTGAGTATCAGCCTACACTCCTTTATAGATGGTTAAAACTCACACAGATAAGTGTTAAAGACTTATGAGAGGACTTCAAGACAGTCTAAGATAGCCATTGGTACCATTTCACATTATTTATTTTTTTGAGCTTATAGAGAGAGTCCAATTAACTAAAAATGATAAGATACCTACTCAACAATAATGAACTATTAGTAAGATGAGGTTAAGTGGTGAGACATATAGTAGTGGAATTTTTGAAAGAAGAGTATATTTATATTTGGAGAGTCTAAGAATGGTAGAATGTCTATATCTATAGCAGCTATGAGTGGGAGTATTGTTGTTAGTTCTGGTGGTTTTCTTAGTAGGGGCACTTATGTGCACTATTTATGGCGGATAACATTTTGGTCAGTGTCACATGATGACTAGATAAAACTTCAAGAGTGGCAGGTAGAACATCGGGTAGTGAAGTGTTTACAAGAAATATTAGATAGATAATCTAAGTCATGATCTGATAGTTTGGTTCGACTAATAAGGAATCTGAGGGTTGCTCCACTTTTTACATTTTTTTGAGGGAACATCTGGTGGATCTAGTTCTCTAATAGGCTTAGTAGCATGTAAACTATATGGTAATGATACGAGAAAACCTAGTGGTTCAATTGCTCCATATAATACCCAAAAATGTTTAAAAGATATGTAAGTATAAGCTTCCTCTAAATGTTCATTTAGTTTTATTAATTCTCATTATTTAATTATTAGGTATTAGTTAAATTAATTTATGTACTTAATCCGTAAAAGGTAATGATTTTTTTATATCACTGTAGCAGTCAGAAATTTTCACTTATCTATGCATGCAAGCTTTGATGGAAAATCTTAGTTAAGTAGATAGTGGAAAGGATAGTGGGAATAAATAGTGGGAATAAAATATTAGTTAAGTAGATAAGAAGCTAGAGCACTACTCCACTTTATTTTCTCATTAGCTTGCTTTAGCATTCAAGAAGGCGGACTGTGCCGGTGACTTGCAGGTGGAAGGAGGCGAGCTCAAGCATGCAAATGCAGTCTTTAATTGTTGATTTCTAAATTTCAGGTTAGTAGATTTCTGAGTTAGGAAAGAAGTGTAGTAATGGTAGGAATGAATTGTATAACAACATATTTTAGTGATTTTCTTTGAAACGAGATGTGGTTTACTTGAATTAGGTTATACTGCTAAGGTAGGATACTGCAGTTGTTGAAAAACAGTTGAAAACTATTTGTAAGGCTGCCATATTTGCTGAAAATAGCAAATTTGGAGCAATAGACTGTTGTAGTTGTTGAACTACTGAAAACAGCAAGTTTGTAAGGGTGAAAATTGTATGTAAGACTGCTGTAGTTGCTGAAAACAGTAAGTTAGAGCTGTATCCTATTGAATTTTATCAAGAGAATGTTGTAGATGTTGTTGTGAATCTCTACTCTCAGCTATTATTAACTATAAACTGAAATCAGGTAGAACAAC